GCTGGGTGTGGTGGTTCATGCCTATAATCCCAGCACTTTGGGAGTCCGAGTCAGGTGGATCATGAGGTCAAGAGTTTGAGACCAGCTTGGCCAACACGGTGAAACCCCGCCTCTGCTAAAAATACAAAAATTAGCTGGGCTTGGTGGTGCGTGCCTGTAATCCCAGCTACTTGAGAGGCTGAGGCAGGAGAATCGCTTGAATCCTGGAGGTGGAGGTTACAGTAAGCCAAGATGGCACAACTGTACTCTGATCTGAGCGACAGAGTAAGACTCCGTCTCAGGGGGGAAAAAAATGTAATAAAAATGTTCCTTCAGGTGATTCTGTTGGGCCCTGTCTCACCACCGTATTTTTCTGAAGCCCAAGGGGCAGCGAATTGCCAGGGTCACATAGGAAGTCTGTGACTGAGAAGCCCCTGTCACACCAAGGAAGACATGGAGAGAGTCCTTCAATGCTGAGGATCTGGGGTGGCAGGAATGAGGGGAGGGATGTGTGAGCTGAGAGTGGTAGGCAGGAGGAGAAGAACCAGTGGAGGAGGTGCTCCTAGACCTGGAAGACTTCAGGAATTCATGGATAGCTAGCAAAAAACTCGAGGATCTTCCTCTCCCATTTCACAGCAGGGAAGACTGAGTCACAGAGTCACAGAGGACTTGGTTGGAAAGGCATCAGTCTGATGGGTCACTTGTTAGTACCCAGTATTTCTGGAGACCGGTGTGTAAGAAGCCAGCCCAAGAGGAGGGCCTGGTCTCTTTCTGTTTGACAAGTCTTAGGATTCGTTTCTCTCCAGGCTTACTTGGACTCTTCATGAAGGCTTTTCAAATGTTGATAACCACAGCAGCCACTGGACCAGAATCAGACCTTGTTTTGAATCCTGGTCCCCCAGAGAGGCAAGTGACTTAACCAAAACCATTATGGCTTCAGATATCCCCTCTTTAAAATGGAATTCCTCCAGGACTGAGGGACAAAATGTACAGGCACACCTTGCTCTTTTGTGCTTTGCTTTATTGTACTTCACAGATACTCCTTTTTTTACTCATTGAAGGTTTGTGGCAACCCTTCATCAAGCAAGTCTATCGATGCCATTTTTTTTTCAACAGCATATGCTCACTTTGTGTCTCTATGTCACATTTTGGTGACTCTTAAAACATTTCAAACTTTTCTAATATTATTATATTTGTTATGGTGATCTGTGATAAGTGATCCTTCATGTTACTGTTGTCATTGTTTTGGGGTACCATGAACTCCACCCATAAAGACAGTTAATGAAATTGCTAAATGTTGTTTGTTCCACCTGCTTGTCAACCAGCCATTCCCCATCTCTCCACCTCTCTTTCTCTTCTCTGGCCCCCTCGTTGCCTAAGGCACAACAATATTGAAACTGGGCCAATTAACAATCCTACAATGGCCTCTAAGTGTTCAAATGAAAGGAAGAGTTACAGGTCTTTATCTTTAAATAAAAAACTGAAAATGATTAAGCTCAGTGAGGAAGGCAGGTCGAAAGCCCAGATAAGCCGAAAGCTAGGCCTCTTGCACCAGTTTGCCAAGTTGTGAATGCCAAGGAAAAGTTATTGAAGGAAATCAGAAGTGCTATTCCAGTGAACACACACGGTAAGAAAGTGAAACAGCCTTATTGCTGATAATGGAGAAAGTTTGAGAGGTCTGGATAGAAGCCATAACATTCCCTTAAGCCAAAGCCTAATTCTGACCAAGGCTCCAAATCTCCAATTCTGTGAAGGCTGAGAGAGGTACAGAAGAAAAGTTGGAAGCCAGCAGAGGTTGATTCATGAGGTTTAAGGAAAGACGCCATCTCCAATCACGTAAAAGTGCAAGGTGAAGCAACCAGTGCTGATGTAGAAGCTGCAGCAATTTATCCAGAAGATCCAGCTAAGATCATTGATGAAGGTGGCCATGCTAACCAGAGATTTTTCCATGTAGATGAAATAGCTTTGTATTAGAAGAAGATGTCATCTAGGACCTTCATAGCTAAGGAGAAGTCAGTGCTTGACTTCAAAAGATTGGCTGACTCTCTTGTTAGGGGCTAATGCAGCTGGTGGCTTTAAGTTACTCATTTATCATTCCAGAAACCCTAGAGCCTTTAAGAATGATGCTAAATCTACTCGGCCTGTGCTAAAAATGAAATAACAAAGCCCAGACGATAGCATATGTGTTTATAGCATGGTTTATTAAGTATTTTAAGCTTACTGTTGAAAACTGCTTACTGCTCAGAAAAAAGATTCCTTTCAAAATATTGCTGCTCATTGACAAGGTGACTGGTCACCCAAGAGCTGTGATGAAATGTGCAAGGAGATACATGTTGTTTTCATGCCTGCAAGCACAACATCCATTCTTCAGCCAAGGATCAAGAAGCAATTTCAAGTCTTATTATTTAAGAAATACATTTTGTAAGGCTATAGCTGCCATAAATAGTGATTCCTCTGATAGATCTGGGCAAAATACATTGAAAACCTCTGGAGAGCATTTAAGGAACATTTGTGATTTGTGGGAGGTCAAAATATCCAAGCATTTGGAAGAAGGTAATTCCAACCCTCATGGATGACTTCAGGGGGTTCAAGACTTGAGTGGAGAACTCACTGCAGATGTGGTAGAACAAGCAAGAGAACTAGAGTTAGAAGTAGAGCTTGAGGATGAGACTGAATCTCCGCAATCTCATGATCAAACTTGCGTGGATGAGGAGTTGCTTTTTATGGATGGGCAAAGAAAGTGACTTTTTTTTTTTTTTTTTTTGATACACAGTCTTGCTTCATCACCCAGGCTAGAGTGCAGTGGTGCAATCTCAGCTCACTGCAGCCTCTACCTCCTGGGTTCAAGGGATTCTCCTGCCTCAGCCTCCCAAGTAGCTGGGACTACTGGCACCTGCCACCACACCCAGCCAATTATTGTGTTTTTAGTAGAGACAGTGTTTCGCCATGTTATCTACCCACCTTGGCCTGACCTCAGGTTATCTACCCACCTTGGCCTTCCAAAGTGCTGGCTGGGATTACAGGCATGAGCCACCGCACTCATCCTAAAGTGGCTTCTTGAGGTGGAATCTACTCCTGGCAAAGATGCTGTGAACATTGTCAAAATGACAACAAAGGATTTAGAATGTTACATAAACTTAGTTGATAAAGCAGCAGCAGGGTTTTAGAGGATGGACATCAGTTTTGAAAGAAGTTTTGCTATGGATAAAATGCTGTCAAGCAGCATCACATGCCACAGAGAAATCCTTCATGAAAGGAAGAGTTGCCGGGTGCAATGGCTCACGCCTGTAATCCCAGCACTTTGGGAGGCCGAGTTGGGTGGATCATGAGGTCAGGAGTTCGAGACCAGCCTGGCCAATGTGGTGAAACCCCGTCTCTACTAAAAATACAAAAATTACCCAGGTGTGGTGGCGTATGCCTGTAGTCCCAGCTATTTTGGAAGCTGAGGCAGAAGAATCACTTGAACCAGGGAGGCAGAGGTTGCCATGAGCCAAGGTCACATCACTGCACATCAGCCTGGGCAATAAACTGAGACTCAGTCTCAAAAAAAAAAGGTGGAGCCAGGGGGAAGAGTTAATGAATATGGCATACTTCATTGTTGTCTTATTTTAAGAAATTGTCACAGTCACCCCAGCCCCAGAAACCATCACCCTGATTAGTCAGCAGCCATCAACATGGAGGCAAGATATATGAACACCTATCAAAGTGGGATCACTCAATGGCCAAGGCTTCTACCCTGTGCCTCTGAGTACTACTGGGCCCTGGCTCATGCTAGTATGGGTTTCTTGTTCCCAAGGAGATTCTTTTTCTCTCTGAGATGGAAGGGAAATCTCACAGATTCCCAACAATAAGGATTTTCTGGGCTGGAGTGAACTAAGAGTACGGGATAGTTCATACTCAATTAACAAAAGGACAAAGGACAGAAAGAAAAGATTGTCAGACATGGGTTCCTGGTCTGGTATCTGCTGCCAGCCTGCCATGTGGCCCGAGGCAGTTTCCAATGATTGTGTTTTTTGCAGTGTCGGAGGTGTTGCATTTTTGCAACCATCAGCACATAGTAAAATAGATCCCATGGCTTCTCCTGCTCACTACGCAGGGTTGTTGTGAGCCTTGCTCATTCCAGCTTGGCAACTGCCGTATGGGGCATGGGAAGCCTCACTGAGCTATCAGGGAGCCCTGGGAGCCACAGGCAGTTAAGCCAGGATGCCAGGATGGCTGTGAGTAGCTGACGGCAGTGGAGGAGCTGCCTGTGGCCCAGGGCTGGAGGAGGCCACCTAGAGGAAGACACTTGTTAGCAGAAACCTGAGGGACCACCAGGACTCTTGCAGGTGAGGGGAGCATTGTGGCCTAATTAGAGCGGTTAGAACTCTGCAGATTCTCAGGGAAAGGTCAGATGTTCCCGAGTATTCCTGGAGGAACTACTACCCAGGGACCTGCTGTGGTGCTTTGGGGCCACAGCCTTGGGATCCTTTAGCTCTCCAGTGAGGCTAAGCTGCTTCGGAACTCTGTGTCTGAGCATGGTTTTTGGAGACAGGATTTCCTCAAGCACCACAGCCCAACCCCAGCCTCCTCTGAGTTGACCTCAAGGTGGTTTTGCGTTTCCTTCAAAGATGTGGGGAGATAGCTTGAGCAGAGGAAAGAAAAGGGGTGTGGAGCGGATGCAGTCGGTTGGGGAGTGGGGAGGTGGGCGTGTGTGTGTGTGTGTATGTGTGCACACGCACGTGCAGGATAGCCTGTGTGCAGCTAGGGACACACCCCTTCCCCCTGGCCAATTCTTTTTTTTTTTTTAATAGAGACAGGGTCTCACTATGTTAGCCAGGCAGGTCTCGAACTCCTGACCTCAGGCAATTGCCTGCTTGGGGCCCCCAGAGTGCTGGGATCACAGGCGTGAGCCCCTGCACCAGCACCCTCTGGCAACTCTGATTGGAGGTGGGGAGATTGCTGTTCCTCTGCCTGCATCTCATGTACTCTCTCCCCACCCCTTCCTCCTTCCTTCTTCCCTCTCTCCTCTCTCCTTGCAGCAGCCCCTGTCAAAGGGAACAGGAAGCAGACCACGGAGGGTGATGCCCTAGACCCACCTGCGTCCCCCAAACCTGCTGGTGAGCAGAACAGGAACCAGAACCCCATCCTGCTGGAGGTGAGTTGGGTAACTCCCTGGGCACTCTTCCCTACCCGCCTCACCTGTACTTAGCCTCCAGGTGAACCTGGACACTCCCCAAGCTTTCAGGAGTTGAGACATGTTCCTGTCCCGGCCCTGCCTGGCAGCCAGGGGACTCACTTGTCATCTGTGGCAGAGTTTCAATCTTGGTTTTTGTAGCAGAACCCTTTTTTCAAATGAAGATGACCCACCACCCTGATCCATCCATGAAACAGACAAAAGTTCCAGCCCATGTTGTAAAACCACATTCACATCTGTTCATCCCGATGCGTAACGTGGGCATATAAAGTCGCTCCATGAGACCAACAAGGCTGTTTCAATGAGTACAGAATCTGAATGGGGTGCTGCAGGCGGCTTTTTCGGAGCACAGTCGGGCTCAGCCTCCGTTCATTTCGGCCATTTGCTTTGGTGGCACAGTCTGGAAAAATATCCCGATTCATGCAGAAAAGTGGTTGCAAAATGGTAGTCGTCTTTAGCAGCTTGCCTGGAATTCAGAATAGAGGCCTGGAGGAGCAGATTGACTTGAGCAGTTGAGAGAGAGCCTTCCTTCTGAGGTCTGCACAGACCATTCCCGGGCCCAACATGCTACGATTTCATAGGTGACATGTGAGTTTGTATGTTGTTTCTTCTCAAAGGTCTTTAATACCTTAAAAACACTGAACTATTATAAAAGCTATTTACAACTAAAAAATAGTAAAAACACTGAAATAAACTTGAATCTATTTATTTAACTACAGCTAGTGCTCGACTTACGACCACGATTGGTTCCGACAGACCGGTCATAACACGATTTGGTCGTAAGTTGAGTAGGCTATATGCACGCGGAGATGGTAGTGCTGCCGGAAGCTGGTCCTCACTGTCGTATGCCCAGCTGGGCAACGTTTGCGCTGCCAGACGCGGAGCAGTCGTGGCTAGTGATTGTGGTTGTAAAGTCGAATGGTCGTAAGTTGCATAGGTCGTAAGTCGATCAATATCTGTAATTAATTAATTTTTTTTTTAGACAGAGTCTTGCTGTTACCCAGGCTGGAGTGCAGTGGCACAATTTTGGCTCACTGCAACCTCCGCCTCCTGGGTTCAAGCGATTCTCCTGCCTCAGCCTCCCGAGTAGCTGGGATTACAGGCAGGCACCACCAGGCCTGGCTAATTTTTATATTTTTAGGACAGATGGGGTTTCACCATGTTGGCCAGGCTGGTCTCGAACTCCTGACCTCAGGTGATGTGCCCATCTAGCCTCCCAAAGTTCTAGGATTACAGGCATGAGTCACGTGCCCAGCTGGGTAAAATATTTTTGGAACACATGGCTCTCTGCACTGTTCTAGTCCAGATGGTTTGTGTCCTGGAAGCTGTCTGTTCTCTGAGCAGGAGACTACCTTGCACCAGGGTATGGGTCCTGGGCTTTCAGCCCCAACCCACTGTACCCCTCTACCCTGAGCCACTTGCTGGATGAATGGCATCAGCAGAGATTGCCCCTCTGGGACCCACAACAAAAGTCCTGTGTCCCTGACAGCAGTGTGTAGTAGAGGCCCAGAGCTTCACCTCCCCGTGCTCAGCATGGCAGGCTGGGGCCACACAAAGGCTCTGGGAACGTGGGCCTGGCAGAGTGACCCCACAGCGCCAGAAAGCACCAAGCACCTCTGTTCCTTCAGCTTTTCCCTCAGGACGGCCCCAGGGACACTGAGCCCTGCCGTCCAGGAGCTCCTAGTCTGACAGAGGAGCTGACACAGATATGATAAATCAAGAACAAGACAGAGAAGTGATCCTGGTCTGGAGAAGGCTGGGGACTGCTCCCTTGGCCTCTGGAGCCGGCTGCTCTGGGGTGCCCAGCCTCTGGGGAGGTCCTGGACTCCAGCCCCTGTCCTGGGGCACTGGGAACTGACACCTGTGCCTGCCGAACCCAGGAACAGTCACTCCCTCCCAGAACAGTGGCTCGGTGCTCTCTGGGAAACTGGGGTTGGGGCAGGTACTTTATTCCTCCTGCAACCAGTGGTTTCTGCACATCCCCAGCAGCTAGCCACCAACTGGGGCCCATCCCAATGCCTCCTGTTCTCTCCCCAGGACTCCCCCGAGGCAGGCGGGGAGCGGGAGGAGGAGCAGGAGCAGGAGCGGGAGGAGGAGCAGGCCTTCCTGGTCAGCCTCTACAAGTTCATGAAGGAGCGACACACACCCATCGAGAGGGTGCCCCATCTCGGCTTCAAGCAGAGTGCGTCCCTGAGGTGCAGGCAGGGAGGGGGGCCCAGCAGGGAACCCCACCCAGGCAGGGCATCGGGCAGGCACTCCCATTATGGGTGACCCAGGTTGCACATAGAAAGGAGGCTTCCCTCCAGGCTGCCACTGGGCCAGTGGTGCACAGGGCACAGCCTGCCTGTCCGTTGCAGTGGCCCTAGCTGGTGTGTGCTGGCCTGTGCCCACCTGACAGGGTGCTAGGAAGGGGTGGCAGGCTGCCCCCACTTCCCACAGAGACTGACTGCTGGCCTGCCCCTCTCTCCGCCAGTTAACCTGTGGAAGATCTACAAGGCAGTGGAGAAACTGGGGGCCTATGAGCTGGTAAGGAAGGCACCTTCCAATTCTTGCCCAACTCCATCTTCTTGGGGTGAGCCTGCAGCCTCTGGACAGAGGAAGAGCCAGGATCCCCTGTCCTGCCCCTGCCTCCCCACCTTCCCCACTGGTACTCTGCTGCTCAAAGCAGCTTTTCCAGCCTTCCCCATCTGTCCTGCCCGCCCTGTGTTGGGAAAACTGCTTGGGCCAGCAGTCTTTGGCCCTGGGAGGGAGAATGGGCCAGCTGCTGCTGGAGCCGCAGAGCAGCTGCCAAACTGCAGTCCTTGCCGGGTCCCTGTGAAGGGGGCTGGAGCTGCGAGGATCCCGCCTCCAGGGGGCGCCCGCCAGCCGCGCCCTCACTAGGTGCCCTTGCAGGTGACCGGGCGCCGCCTCTGGAAGAATGTGTACGACGAGCTGGGGGGTAGCCCTGGCAGCACCAGCGCGGCCACGTGCACACGCCGCCACTACGAGAGGTACAGTGGGGTGGGCCGGGTGCTGGAGGCCACCTGCCCTCCGGGGCCTTGGCTGAGCGTGCCGGGAGTGCCGGGTGGACTCTGCCTGGAGCGGGCGGGGTGTGTGCCATCCTTAGTTTTTAGCGCTGCAGGAGGTCAAGCTGGCTGGGCGCAATCACCGAGGGAGCTGAAGCTTTGGGGCCAGGAGAGGGCCTTCCTTGGCGCTTAGGGGAGGCCACAGAGGCCGTGGAGGGAATGGGAGCTGGCCTCCTGGGGGACATACCTGGCTTTTCCCCAGGCTGGTCCTGCCATATGTGCGGCACCTGAAGGGGGAGGATGACAAGCCGCTGCCCACCTCCAAGCCCAGGAAACAGTACAAGATGGCCAAGGAGAACAGGGGGGATGACGGGGCCACCGAGAGGCTGAAGAAGGCCAAGGAGGAGCGGCACGTGGACCAGGTAGGCCTACGGCTGGCTGGAGCCACCCTGTTCCCTGCCTCTTCCAGTCCCACCCCACAACTCCCTGCAGTCACAGGGCTGTCTGCTCAAAATACACAGAACCTGCACCCAGGTCGGACTTGCAGGGTTCAAGGCTCTCCACAGACGGTTGTGCAAGTGGACTCTGAACTCCAGCCTGCGCCCACCCACCAGGCCCTGTGTCCTGACTCGAGGCTGTGTCCACTCAGAAGACAGGGCACCTTTGGAAAATTCTGCACAGAGGCACTACAGAGGCTAGCGGGGGATATAGGCAGGCCTGAAAGTGGTGCCTCCTGCTCCCCAGGTCAGGATGCACGGATCATGCAGCCCTGAGGCATGGCTTTCTCATTCTAGATGATGCCAGGAAAGACCAAAGCAGATGTCGATAACCCAGCACCACTTCCTAGCCGGGAGTCCCCCAGAAGCAGCACAGAACAGCAGGGTCCGGCCTCTGCATCTTCTATGTCCTTTGTGGGTGCCAGCAGCTGCCCTGAGGCCTACAAACGGCTCCTATCCAGCTTCTACTGCAAGGGGACACATGGCATCATGTCACCACTGGCCAAAAAGAAGCTTCTGGCCCAGGTGAGCAAGGTGGAGGCCTTGCAGTGCCAGGAGGAGGGCTGTCGCCATGGGGCAGACCTCCAAGCATCCCCAACTGTTCACCCCCCAGAGAGTCCTCAGAGCCCCAAAGGGCTGGCTGAGAACTCCAGGCACCGGCTGACCCCTCAGGAGGGACTGCAGGCCCCGGGTGGCAGCCTCGGGGAGGAAGCGCAGGTGGGACCCTGCCCAGCAGCCCCAATCTTCACGGGCTGCTTCCACACCCACCCCACAGAGGTACTGAAACCTGTCAGCCAGCACCCCAGGGTCTTCTTCTCCAGACTTAAAGATGGGGTGTTATTGGGGCCTTCTGGCAAAGAGGGGCTGTCAGCGAAAGAGCCCCAGCTGGTGTGGGGCGGGGATGCCAACCACCCTTCTGCATTCCACAAAGGTGGCTCCAGAAAGGGCAGCCTCTACCCCAAGCCAAAAGCCTGCTGGGTATCTCCCATGGCCAAGGTCCCGGCCAAGAGCCCCGTGCCCGCATCCACCTTCCTCAGTAGCCCAGGCCTTGTCAGCAAGCGCAGCCTGGAGGAAGAGGGTGCTGCCCATAGTGGGAAGAGACTGCGGGCTGTGTCTCCCTTTCTTAAGGAGGCAGATGCCAAGAAGTGTGGAGCCAAACTTGCGGGATCTGGCCTGGTCTCCTGCCTGCTGGGCCCAGCCCTGGGGCCTGTGCCCCCAGAGGCCTACAGGGGTACCATGCTGCACTGCCCGCTGAACTTTGCTGGCACCCCGGACCCCTTGAAGGGCCAGGCTGCACTGCCCTTCAGCCCCCTGGTCATCCCAGCCTTCCCAGCCCACTTCCTGGCCACTGCAGGCCCCTCACCCATGGCCACTGGCCTGATGCACTTCCCGCCCACGTCCTTCGACAGTGCCCTCCGCCACAGACTTTGTCCAGCCTCATCTGCCTGGCACGCACCACCAGTCACAACCTATGCAGCACCCCACTTCTTCCACACCAAGTTGTAGGCCAGCCCATGGTGTTGCATGTACTGTGGAGTTGGCTGGGGCCCGTGATGGGTAGGTGCTGCTGCCAGGGGGCTCTGGACTAGTGCCCACTACCCAGGACACCTAGGTCATGACCCTGGCTGGGCAGCTTGGCACAAGCAAAGAAGGAGGCAGTGGGAAAACTGGGTTTGTCTCAAGGCAGCAGCCTGAGCCCAGGAGCAGAGGACCCAGTTGTTGTAAGGCTCTGGGAGAGGGTGGTCAGCTCCCACTGCCTCAGAGTGGAGCTCAAAGCACCCAGGTTGCCCACAGAAAGTCCAATAAAAGACACCAATGTGAATTGACATAGTCCTGAGGTGTGTGTGGTGTGGACCTTTGCCACAGCAGGTGAGGCAGGGGTGAGCTTGTGGGTGGGGCTGCCATTAGGGGGCCAAGGAGATGAACCTGGACACCACCACCCAACTCAAGAGCAGGCCCAAAGCAAACCCCAGCCTCTGCCCACATTTAGTCAGCCTCTGACACCCATCCTGTGCCTTCAGTCTGCTTTCCTAGCTGAGCCTCAGGAATGTTTGCCTTCCTCATTGTGGAGATGGGGATTGGAGGCCCTGGGAGGATTGGTGACTTGCCCAGGTTCCCCTGGCAGGAGAGGGCTGCGCAGGGACTAGTGCTCCCAGAAGGCTTTGGGGCATGACTAGGAAGCCTGAATTGGTCTGCCTTGGTGGTGGATTCAGACTTCTTGCCTGACCTACACGGATGGACAGGCCAGAATGGCCACTGGATTGAAATCACTGGAGGCGCCTGGAGGGAAAGGGGAACAAAGGCGCTGGTCTGGGCCTGGGTGTCTGCATCAGTAACAAGCCCCTGCAGTTTCAGATGTGTTTGCCCCAGGGTAGATACAGAACCCCTGTGGCCTGACACCCTCCTTCCTGTAGATTAGATGAGAACAGGGCCTTGGCTCAGGAGGAGGGAGGGCAGGCTCCTTTCAGAGGCATCGTCCCCTCCCTCCACAAGCAGCCTGTGCCCAAACAGCTTCATGTGTAGTCCTGGAAAAACCCATGCCACCAATCTGGGGTGGGACCCAGTGCTTCCCAGAGGCCCCACGGCAGTGCCCTGGTGTGTCCTGGAAAAGCCGGGGCTGTTGCTGGCCAAGCAGAGGACAGATGTCAGGCTGCAGGTGTGAGCAGGTCAGCAGGCAGCTCCAACTCGCACCACTGGAACTTGCCCTGCCCTCTGGGACTGGGGCTGCTGGAATTCTCATGATATCAGGTCATGGGAGGGGCCCACATAGTTTGCAGGTAGGGAGGCTGAGGCCAGGAATGCGAAGGGTCTTCCTTGTCCAAGGCCACCATCCATGATGACAGAACCCAGGCCAGGGAACGTGCAGCATGCCCAACACCAGGGCGCAGTCGGTCAGACCAAAAAGGCACCCTATCCAGTCCCTGCCCCCAGCTGCCTCTTTCAGGAGCAGCCCGTGGAGGGAAGCTCAGGTGCCCTCCAAGCAAGGCCTGTGATGGGTGGAGGGCAGAGGGTGGTGGTCCCTGCTGTTGAGAGCACTCAGGTTCTACAGGGACATCTGTCAGCCTTCTGCCACCTTCCTTCTGAGAGATGCCAAGATGCCAGCCTGAGCACCTGCAGTGACCAGCCCTGAGCTCCCAACGGCCACATGTACTCATGTGCAGCTCACTCTCCAATCTGCAGAGGCTCAGTGGCTGATAAAGAATGGGGAGGGACTGGCTGTGGTGGCTCATGCCTGTAATTCCACACTTTGGGGAGCCAAGATGGGCGGATCACCTGAGGTCAGGAGTTTGAGACCAGCCTGGACAACATGGTGAAACCCCATCTCTACTAAATGTATAAAAATTAGCCAGGCATAGTGGTGCCTGCCTGTAATCCCAGCTACTTGGGAGGCTGAGGCAGGAGAATTGCTTGAACCCGGTAGGCAGGGGTTTCAGTGAGCCAAGATCTCGCCATCGCACTCTATCCTGGGCAACAAGAGCGAAACTCTGTCTCAAAAAAAAGGGGGAAGGGGCTGAGTTCTGCCCACCCTCCAGGCCCTGGGTGCTGGGCCACAGGTTATTGAGGTCAGATCCCCTGGATAAAGGGGAGGTGACCCTGTTGTGTGCAGTGTCCTGCCCAGGATGGGGCAGGGTCGCCTTCATCTGCAAAGCAACATTGGCCTGGCCCTGGCACAAAAATGGGCGGCGGCCGGGAGACAGGATTTGGGCGCAGACGGCTCAGAGCCGTGATCATGGCGCCCTCTGGAGGTCGATCTGGAGAATGCACCTCGCGTGAGACGTCTGTCTTGGGCCGGTGAGCGCCCTGGGCAGAACGCAGGGGACCCTGCTTTGGCACAGATGCTAGAGCAGGATGTAGTCATGCTTCCAGGAGACCCTCTGGGCCCAGTGTCCCACAGCCCGGTACTAGCTTTACCCGACTCACTCTCCCCTCACGGTTCCAGAGAGTAGCGTCCCCGCTCACCACTGGCCTGAATGGTGGGGTCCGGCTAGTGAGCGGAGACTGAGGACAGGGACCAGGGCTGGAGACCTGAGGTAGGAAGGCGGGGAGGGGTTGAGAATGAGTGACCTCAGACTGAAGCACGGCCACGCCAGGCAGTGCCTTGGGGCATCTGGGAAGCACCGGGTCCACCCGAGGTTGGTGGAATGGGTTTTGGGTTTCGGCAGAACCAGGCCTCCAGATGGGTGCAGATTCGGAGTAGGGGAGAGCCAGGTTGCACTGAGGAGGTGCTCAGCCAGGAGAGTCTGGTGCAGCAGAATGGGACAGGCAGCTGAGGCGAGTGCAGGGAGTGAGGGCAGTGGAGAGGTGACCTGGAGTCGAAGCTGGGTATGGTGGCGAAACTGACGGACTGCAGGGGGGCTCCAAGAACTGCAGGAGTCAAGGAGTTAGTCTGGAGATAAGAGGGCTGGCTGACAACCCTGCTGTACCTGGGTGCACTCGTGGGCGTGAGTGGAAGAGAAGAAGCCAAGGAACGAAGAGGCTGGGGCATGGGAAGCCTTGGAGTCACCACATTTGCGCCAGGGTTAGGTAAGGAGTGGGGAGGAGGCGCTGGAGTCCACAGCAAGGCCACAATGCAGGGGCAGCAACAGGGGCTGGCAGCACCCCCTACCTCGGGGCAGCATGGAGAAGCGGCCTGCACTGGAGGGAGCTGAGGGAGCAGTCTCAGGGTGGGCACAGCCATGGGCTGACAGGGGAGGGAGCAGAAGGGCAGCTGGGAGCACCCAGGCATGGAAGTGGGAGACCTCCGCTGCTCAGCAAAGGTTTGCACTCAAGACCAGCGGGTGGGCACCGTGCGATGTCTCATGCCTGTAATCCCAGGACTTCGGGAAGCCAAGGTGGGTGGATCACCTGAAGTCAGGAGTTCAAGGCCAGCCTGGCTAACATGGCGAAACCCCATCTCTACTAAAAATACAAAAATTAGCCCGGTGTGGTGGCACATGCCCTGTAGCTCCAGCTACCTGGGAGGCTGGGGCAGGAGAATCACTTGAACCCGGGAGTTGGAGGTTGCAGTGAGCTGAGATTGTACTACTGCACTCCAGCCTGGGCTACAAGAGTGAAACTGTCTCAAGGAAAAAAAAAAAAAATAGACCAGAGGCTGCTGACAGTGGCCTGAGACGTCTTTAAATGTTGATGGGTTTTTGTTTTTTAAGAGATGCAGGTCTTGCAATGTTACCCAGGCTGGAGTGATGCTGTGGCTATTCACAGGCAAGACCAGCATGCATTGCAGCACCCAAACTCCTGGACTCAAGCAGTCGCCCCACCTCAGCCTCCCGAACAGTTGGAACTACAGATGCACGCCATGGCAGCCAGCTAAATGTTTTTAAATAATTGCCAGAATTTAAAAATTAGATTTCACATAAAAAATGTGGATATCAGGCTTCTCTTTAAAAACCGGAATTTCTAGCCACATGGGAGCACTTCCTGGAGCTGAGTAATTGCTGCTGCCCTTTGGACAGGGTAACCTGCCTGTTCATCACAGTTGCCCCAGCCCCTATGTCCACAAATCTGAGAGACCCAGACCTTTGCCACCTGCTCGGGCTCCCCTGTTTGAGCCAGAGTCCTGTCGCTGCTCAGACAATAGGTGGCAGCTTTTGAGGCTCCTTCCCACCTTGGGGTTTCTTGGCCTCACACCCAGGATTCCCACCACCTGGTGGGTCTTGTCACTCAGCCCTCAAAGGGTCAGTGGATACAGAGAGAATCTCAAAGAGCTGAAGCCAGAATACAGGCCCTGAGGCCTGACTCTTCCATGGGTTCAGTGTGTCTGTAACGGTTCTCAGGCCCCTTACTGGCAAGCAACAGAAACAAACCCCAATCCAGGCAGGAGGGAGCCTGAGTGACTGAGAACTACAAGAAGAGCAGAACCCCCAGACCGCAGGGGGTGGGGGCAGCAGCCCTGCACGGGGTCAATTACCTAACAGTAGGCACTACAGATTCAGCTCCAATTGCCTTCCCTCCCTGGGGTCCTGCTCCAGGATACACTGTGAGGGGAGAATCTGATCTGAGGCCTCTTCTTACCCAGTAACCTCTGAGGCTGTTACCTTAGAGGAAGCATATCTTCCAGGTAGACGAAGACAGAAGCTGCCATGTTGGGTGACGCCAGGTGCGTATCTTTCTCTGGGCCTCCGTTCCCTCATCTGTGATATGACAATGAGTCACTCCTGTCTCAAGAGTGGTGGGCATTTAGTGAAAGTGCTCTGTAAACTAAAGTTCTGGTGAATGTGAATCATCACCTCCTTCCCCACCGGCAGTTCTGCTCTGCCAGCCCGATGGCCTGCACCCTGTCCTTTACCTCACCACTTTTTAACATTCCTGACCTCCCACCTGGCTTCTGACTCACAGTCACACTGAACTTTGGATCCTGTCTGTGTCTGGATCAAGAATGGCAAGTCAGTTCCCCCAGGTATCAACTTTGACTGATGGTGGCTGTCTGCCTTTGCGGTTGACTCAGTGTGACAGTGATGCAATTGATTAGTAATGTCTGCCAAGGCCACAGGCAGTGGTGTGGAGGCTCACCTGCCACTTAGCTGCCATCTCTGTCTACATGCATGATGATCTAACCGTGCCTGATGATGGGCTGTCTGATGTAAATCCGACCTCACTGCCACATCTTAGCCACAGCTCCTGTGCTGAGCTGCCTAGTTTCTCTCCCACATGAGAGAGGGTTGTGGAGGAGCAGGTCTTGGGCTGGGCAGTCAAATCCTGGAAGTCTGGGTTGGAGACCCCTTGCCCTTGAGCTACAGAGTTTGATGCCTGGGTAGTCGTTCAGGGAGGCTGCCCCTTGGGAGAAACCCAAGAAGGCTGTCCAAAAACCAGAAAGGTCTTTCCATAG